CGATCTGGACCGGGACTTTTCTTTTTAGGGGAGGATTTTTGTAATTGCTTTCTCATTTCAGCTCTTGAGATTGGTCATGTTTAGGGAAATCTATTTCCTTCCTGGTCGAGCTAGGGGGCTGTGTGTTAGAAATTGTCATTCCTTCCACATGTTCCAGTTGTGTGCATAAGATTTTTAGTATCATAAATTATACTTGTATCTCCGTGGATCAGTTTTATAATCTCCTTTTTTGTTCTGATGGAGCTTTTAGAGATTCTCTTTCTGCTTTCTTGTAGTAGCCAATGGTGTGTCAATTTTGTTTTATTTTCAAAAACAACTTTTTGTTAATAATTCCTGAGTAGCTTCCCTGTTTCAATCCATTAGTTCTGATTTGATCTTGTTGATTTCATTCTTGCTGGTTTGGGGTTTCTGTTCTTCTTTTCAGCCTTTGGAGTCGTCGTTAGATATCTATTGTGATCTTTTGACTTTGGTTAATAGGCATTTATGGAGATAAAACTTTTCCTCTCAGACTCTTTAGCTGATTCCCAGAGATTGAACTTGTCTCCATTATTTTCTTCATAGAATTTATTTATTGCCATCTTGATTTCTTCATTTATGAAGGAATCATTTAGTAGGAGGTTAATTTCCATGTTTTTGTGTAGAAATGTGAGTTTCTGTTAGGGTTGATTTCTACTTTTATTCCACTGTGATCTGAGAAGGTACATGATATGATTTCTATTTTTTTTAATTTCTTGAGGTTTACTTTGTCTCCTAGGATATGGTCAATCTTAGAGAATGTCCCATGAGCTGATGAGAAGAACATATATTCAGTGGATTTAGGGTAGAATGTCCTGTAAATGTCAGTTGAACTTGTATATCGAGATTTGACAAGGCCTGGAAAAAAAAAAAAAAAAAAAAAAAAAAAAAAAAAAAATTTTCCTCTATTTATATCTTCAAATAGCTTGTCCAACTCTTGGGTTTGTCCTCTTCCCCTTCTGTAACCCTATACCCTCACATTAGGTTTCTTCCACAAATCCCACAATCTCTCGTAGGCTTTCTCTTTCTCTGTTTCTCGCTCTATCTCTGTGAGTGATTTATTTAATTGGGGGTGTTATCTTTCAATCTCTGAGAATCTTTCTTCTGTTTGATCTACCTGTTCTTGAGACTTTCACTGTATTTTGTAGTTCCTGAATTGATTTCATTCAGAGTTTGGTTACCCACTTTCTTCTTTTTTTTTATTATTGTGTCGTTTTCTATTAGTGCATCTTTGTTCAGATCCTGGAGCTTTTTGATGGTTCTTTGTGTTGGTTAATGAGTTGTTTTGCAGGTCTGTTGAATTGTCTGATGATCCACATTTGAAATCTTCTTCTGTCATTGGTTGCTGATTTTGGTTGGTGTCTGTTCTAGGTGGCTGTGCTCCTCTTTGGGGGTGTGTTTCGTTTGGTTTCTCATATTCGGAGGTTCCTTCCGCTGATTCTCCAAATGTACCATCAGTTGTTCTTTTCTTAGGTTTTGTTTGGGTATTCACACGCCTTGTTTAGTTTCTGAGCCGGTAAGTGGTGTTGCTGGGTTACAGATTTCGACCACTACCCTGTATAATGAGTCAGTAGGGCTCGTGAAAGCTGTGCAGGATGTCCTCCCTGTCAGAGAGGCGCATGCTTGTAGGAACAGGCTATGCTTGTTTTTGTGTCCTGTTTATCAGCTCTTGTTCCTGTAGAGGAGCATCTCTAGTGCCAGGTGGTCGGTGGGGCCTGGGG